CTTTGGTGAAGAATTCTCATCTAGAAGCTCTCCAGATTACAAAGAATACTACCTCTATCTGTTGAGTCTCTCTTCTCCTACCCCACGCTCCCTCATCTTCATTCCTCTTTTCTATGTGGTCTTTCTGAACCCACAGAGTTTTACCTGTGACTGAGGCACAGCTGTGTCTGCCCATATTCCCCTCCCCCACTCCCACCTTCCCTGAGGGTCGGGCCAAATTTCTTGGGCAGAGTGGCAGGGCTAGTCTCTGGAGTGAGTAGACCTGAGTTCCCATCTGTGCTCTCCCCTACCTGGCTGTGTGACTTTCAGCAAGTCACTTAGCCTCTCTGAGCCTCTTTCATGAGATAACTATTTGGTAATAATGAGAACTCAAAGAGATAACGGATGTCAAGCCTTTGGAAGTTGCCTTCCCTGGCTGGGCCCTGCTCCCCTCCTGCCTTGGTCCCCATCCAGGAGTGCCTAGGAGCTCACCAGGGTCGAAGAGGATGGTCCCTTTCAGGTAGGCATATTCCTTGGGGCCCAGTTCCAGGCTCCAGAAGGACTCCAGGCAGTACTGAAGCCACTGCACCGCAGCCAGCGAGGGCTGGGGCCGATCCAGCAGCTGGCCACTGCCTGCACGGCTGCTGGGCTCCTCCAGCAGGATCTTCTTGAGTATACTTGGAACCGGGGCCTCAGTCACCTCGAAGGTTACAGTGTCTTGGGCCAACCCAAGAAGGAAGAGGGGGGCCCAGCAGCCCCGCAGCAGCTGCCGCTGATCCTGGGGGTGCAGCTGGCAGAAAGGTGGCAAGTTCCTGAGGAAGACCACGGTCTTGGCCAGAACGTCCAAGGCCTCCCGGCAGGTGCGATTGGGAGCACACAGCTGGACGGGTCGGTGCTGCCTGCACAGGCAGTGGCCAGGGACTGGGGGCACAGAGGGCCTGGCCCTGAGGCTGGGGCTCAGAAGTGCATACAGAATGGCCGGGCGGCCTGTGGCACCCTGGCAGGGGCAGATCCCTGACTGGCTGGAGCTCATGGCTGAGGATCTGCTCCTCTTCCTCCCAGCTCTCCCGCCCTCTGCTCTGTGCTGTGGGTGCTATTTATATCTCCACTGGCGGGGAGGAGGGAACAGCCCAACAACCTTGACTCCAGAAGTCATGTTCATTGAAAAAAAAAAGAAACACACACTGACCCTGGCAGGACTAGTGGGGAACTGGCAGGGGAGGGGGCCTTGGGAGCTCCACGTGGCCCTGATATCACTTTAGTCAATGAAGTGGCCTGTGCAGGGCATGGGGCTGCCTGCCTGCTGGCCCCGCTGCCCCTTATCGGATGACTCAAGTGGATAAACAGGGTCATTAACCCAGGCTGTACCAGGGCACCAAGGCCTCAGGTGCATAATCAGCAGGTGGCTGTGGCAAATGTCCCTATTGGTGCCTGCAGGACTCTTGCTAAGCTGGAAGCCAGCCCCAGAGCTGGACAAGCCTTGAACACAAGGCTCAACCTGGAAGTGCCTTATCACTGGCTTGTTTGCCTAACCTTGGGGCCCTGCTTTGTTGTTGGTAAGGAACAGGCTGCAGGGAAGGGAGCCAAGACCCCAGGGGGCTAGGAGGACTTTGTCCACTGCGCAGTCTAGGAGGCCCCCTTCCTGACTCCAGTTCTGGGGGCCCTGCAGAAATAAGGTCCTTTAGAACTCTCTCCTCAGTATGGATTCCTAGAGCTCCTGAAAGGACATATCAGCTGAGGAGACCTCGCAGAATGATAGTGAAATATGACTGCTGTTTATTGAACACCTACTCTGTGCCAGGCACTTTCCACTCTAACGTTCAGAGTTTCTCTATGGGGCAAGAGTCTTACTTTTTTGAGACTTAAAGAGGTGAAATGACATAGTCACCCACTAAGTCACCCCACTAAGAAGAGACAGAGCCCAGATCTGTCTGGCTCCACAGTCCTTGCTTGTTTCACTGGATCCACTGGCCCAATTGTGCAGCCAGAGCTGTGTGGCCTGGGTTTCCCAGAGCTGGTGAGTACCTGGGCCCCCACCTTGCTGCTGCCCGTTCTGCAGATGCTGCCCACTTATGATCTGAGTCAAAACGTTGCTCTGCCACCAGCCATATGTCTCCTCTGTCCTAGGCATCTGTCTCAGACGGTGGGGTGTGTGTTGTGAGAGCGGGTGACAAGGTCCTTGGCTGTGTCATATCCGTGGACCTTGGCAAGACCAGCCTGGCAAGCCTTCTGCTACCACACTATTGGGCAGCCGTCACCATCCCTGGCATCTGCTCCTGGCTCTATCGCTTTCCAGTTGTGTGACCTTGGGCTGATCCTCAAATCTCTGTGGGCCTCAGGAGCTTGATCTGGGACAATAATGCCCGCCTATAGGGCTGCTGTGAGGACAAAGTGAGGTCTTGGATGTCAAATTCCAAGCAGTCTCCGGTATACAGTAGGAAGGCTTTGCTCCCACCTTCCCTCTGCCTAAGGAACTAAGCCCCAGTAGAAAACAGGCATGCATCTTTCATTTGATTGTCAATAATCTTAATCCTTACATTTATAAAGTTCCTTTCATGGCCTTTTATCTCACTGAATTCTCACAGCGTTCCCTCAAAGGAGACTGGAGTCAGACCACCTGGATCCAAATCCTGCTTCATCGCTTTGCTGAGTGACCTTGGGCAACTCACTATATTTCGGTGCCTCAGTTTCCTCATGTTTAAAAGGGTGGTAAGAAAGGCCAGGGGCTGGCCTCGTGGCCGAGTGGTTAGGTTTGCGCGCTCTGCTGCAGGCGGCCCAGTGTTTTGTTGGTTCGAATCCTGGGCGTGGACATGGCACTGCTCATCAAACCATGCTGAGGCAGCGTCCCACATGCCACAACTAGAAGGACCCACAACAAAGAATATACAACTATGTACCGGGGGGCTTTGGGGAGAAAAAGGAGAAAAATAAAATCTTAAAAAAAAAAGCCTCCCCTTTAAAGAAAAAAAAAAAGAAAGGCCAATAGTGGATATTGGTTTTATGGGGTATGAAGCTTATACAATTTGGAGGGCCTTCTTTAAGAATAGAAAATCAGGTATGAAAGTGAATATTTAAAATGAAAAAACAAATCTCTACAAATCATAAACTAAAATAAGCTGACAGAAAACGCAAACATCACAAACCCAGGAAAATAACAAGGTACATTTACTGATCAATTGCCTAACAATATTTGCCTACATGTTTTAGCTGCACACTCTTTGCTCATCTCTTCCCATGTCAATGATACTTATTTTGAAACCATTACAAACACAGAAAGTTTACAGGTACAGTACAGGAAACTTGTTTAACCTTGAACCATTTGAGAGTAAATTTCCAACCTGAAGCTCCACAACCCCCAAATACTTTAGTGTGTAATTTCTACAAACAAGGACATTCTCCTATATAATCACAATACAGTGTATAACCATCAGCATCAGGAAATTAACGTGGAACAAAATCAGGAAATTTACAGCTAATCTCAGACCCTATTTAAGTTTCACCAAATGCTTCAGTGAGTGATGGTGGGAGGGCACAGTCCAGAATCTCACATTGCACTTCTTTATCATGTCTCTTTAGTCTTTGCCAGTCAGGAAAGCGTCCTTGGTCTTCCCTTGCCTTTCACGACCTTGGCACTTTTGGAGAATTGTTATTTTGTAGTATGGCTCTCAATTTGGGTTTGTCGGAGGCTCCCTTGTGATTACTCAGGCTACGCATCTTTAGCAGGAATATCACAGAAGTGATACTGTGTTCTTGATACATCCTATCAGGTAGCACACATTTCCATTTGTCCCATGGTTCACTTTGGTCACTTGATTAAGGTGATGTCTGCCAAGCTTCTCCACTATAGTTCATCTTTTCCCCTTTGTAATGAGTCAGTATTTTGTGAGAAGGTATTTTGAACCTTTGTATATATTCCTCCTCACACATTGAATGTATGTATGTATTTAGTTATGAACTCAACGTCTCCTGTTTTATTCAGTGGCTTGTAATCTGTTACTATCGTTATTTTGAGGCTAAGACTGTCACAGATTTGGCTAATAGGAACTCCTTCAAGCCAGCGTCTGTGTTTTTTTTGACACAGCCCATCATTCTTTGAACATCCTTTGTTTTCTGGTATAACAAGATATCACTTCAAAGCCCCTGGAATCAACCAGTACTCCAAGAAGCTACAATAGCATTTAAAAACCATAACTTGCACACTAGAATCATCTTTAGAAACCAAGATTGGCTCATTGCTGTTAGGGTGTCACTACTCCCAGGCCCTCCCAGAGCTAGGGAATGTGCACACACACACGCTTACATTTATATTTATTTCTATATCTATTTATACATAGTACTAAAAAACACGAGTTCAGATCATTATCTGCAGTTCTAAGCCACTAAAACGAGGTTCATTCTAGTTTTCGCCCTTTCTGTATTTATATCTCCTTTCTCTGACACTCGGAAATCTGGCTTCCATTATTCTTAATTCTTTTACTTATTGGATCAAGCCACCGTTTGGAACCAATGTCCCATCTCCACTGCTGCCCGCTCCCCTGTGAGATGCCTCCCCACCCCGCTTGGGCTCTGATACCTGTGTCAGGCTGCCCCCTCCCACTCGGGGATACCCTCATCATTCTGCTAGGGCTCTGTCACTCCATGCCAGGTGGCTTCTCTGTGCAGACACCCTCCACACCCTGCTGGCACTCTAACTTCTGCTCTGGGCCACTGAGGCTCCTTCTCTCTTCTGACACATACTTGTACCTTGTTCTGCTAACAGTTTTAGGATTGAAATTTTCAGGAAGAGGAGAAAGTAGAGCTGTTAACAATTTTCAAAAATAAAATTCTACAGTGAGGATACAGTGAGATTCTACTGTGAGAATCTACAGTGAGAATTCTACAGTAAGAATTCAACAGCGAGAATGATTTTGTCTTTCCTCTTGCAGGGTTGATCAAAAAAAAGTTTTTATTGGGGCTGGCCCCGTAACCTAGAGGTTAAGTTCAGCACGCTCTGCTTCGGTGGCCTGGATTCAGTTCCCGGATGTGGACCCACACCACTTGTCAGCGGCCATGCTGTGCCAGCAACCCACATACAAAATAGAGGAAGATTGGCTCAGATGTTAGCTCAGGGTGAATCTTCCTTAGGAAAAAAAAAGTTCTATTCCTGATAGTCAGGATACATAAACGTGCCACTTCACACATAGATGTATTTGCTACTTGTAGTGCTGCTTATAGGTTTGTAGTAGGAATTTTGATAAATTCTACTTCGTGTAATTCCTATCAAAAAAGAAAAATATGCATAGGACATTTATAATTGCACATCCTGCATATTCCTTATAGAAGAGAACTTCCTTTTTGAGTTGGTGTCAATATGAAATGACAACTTCGTGATGACTGAAAGAATTTTGCACAGATTGGATTCTTGATCCACACAGATCCTTGTTTCTCCCCTACCACCCACATACTTCCAGGTATCCTGGGAATAATTCATATTGGGAAGTGGGTTAGAGCGGGAAGAAACAGTGCTCTTAACCAACTGTAGTTTAAAAATTTTATTTTTACAAATTAAAAAGAAAAACTATATACATGTTTGACCCTAAGAAGACATTGCTGGGCCTCTCCCAGGGCCTTGGATGGTCCCAGGCAAGTGCAAGGCCCCAGAATTCGAGCTTCATTAGCTTCACAGAAAATCTCCCTCTAATAGTGCCTTTCCTGGGTATTTGTGAGGCTCAAATGAGGTGTTTGTGAGAACACAAAGCACCTGGCACATAGCAAGTGCTCCATAAAAGAGGGCAATTGTCCCTATTATTGTTGCTGCTTTTACTCTCATTTCCTAGAAGAGGAGGTTGAGGAGGAGGAGACCCAGAGAAGGGAGGAGACTCCTCTGTGGGGGTCATGGTAAAGCTGGGTCCCTGGGTTTTAAATCTTGTGTTTTTTTTGCACTGTGGGGAACTGTGTTTTCTGAGCCCCATGTGTGACCTGAAGGCCAGGGTGCTAGTCCTGAAGGCCTTGGAGGGGGAGGAAAGGCCTCAGCTGGGATCTCTATAGCCTAGAGCCTGACTGCGGCCATTCACTCAGAAAAATACGATGTCTCTGTGGGAGAAGATGGTCCATCAGCTGCCCTCTGTCCAGGCCTAAAGTCTAAAGGGGAAGACAAAGGTCATCCTCAGGAGTCCCCAGTCTGAAGGGGAGACACAGCCCTGCCCTTGGGAACCCTGAATCTAATTGGGGTGACACAGGCCAGCCCTGAGGAGGCTCCATTCTGAGGACGGAGTGACAACCCCACTCTCAGTAGCTCTAACAGGGGAGCCAGGATGCCACATCAGTGGTGGGCAGGAATGCTAAAATGGAGCGGTGGGCTGAGCAGCTTGAATTTGGAAGGCTTTCTGGAGAAGTTCATGACAATCCTCTCCCGTCTGTACAGCACTCTATGGTTTACAAAGTACTTTCACAAAAATTATTTCGGTTAATCCTCATGCAACAAGGAGACGAGGGTGTTACTGTCCAAGCAGGAACAGCAAACGTCATCATCCTGAGAATGATGACAGCAACATTTCCTGAGCACCTGCTGTGTGTCGGGCACTGGGCTGGGCATTATCTGCAAAATTCAAGGGCACCCTACAAGATAATGTATGTGAAAATGCTCTGCAATCCTATGACCAGGGTGCACGTGTTTGCTCTTGTGTACTGAGGTCTCAAACTAATTGAGGGGGCAGCTGGGAGATCCTGGGGTGCAGGGGGCCTGGGTTAAGTATTGGAACTGGGAGTCAGAGAGCCAGTACTAGGCACCTTCTCATTCCCTGAACACATCATGCACCTTTGTGCCTCCCAGCTTTTGTCCATTCTGTTCCCCGGCATGGGATGCCATTCCCTTACCCTGTCTGCTTGGGAAGCTCCTGGTCACCCTTCATGGTCTAGCTCAAACATCACTGCTCTAACACAGGCTTCCCATCCTCCCATCTCTGCCTCTTTGGAAGAATAAATTGATCCCTCCCTGAGTTTCCCAGTCACTTAGTCCACACCCCTTACAGGGTGCTTAGCACGTGGTGCAATCACCCACTTACCTGCCATTGGTGGTGTTCAAATGTAGATGGGATCAGAGGTCCTTAGGGGAGGCTGATTGGTCACCAAGAGGCCTTCCAGGGTGACATTTATTATCTTAGTGAATTCACCAGGGTCCAGGATCAGGCCTTGGTTTCTCAGGGAGGCGTCACATCAAACAAGCGTCTGGGACTGATGTATAAAATCAGAATGCCAATTCAGGGAGGCAGAACTCTAAGGTGAAGTGGGTAAGTCTGCAGGCTCTGGAGTTGGGCTTCATGGGTTTGAATCCTGGCTCTACCCTTTCAGCTGTGTGACCTCGGGCACAAGACTTCACTTCTCTGTCCCTGTTTTCTCATCTCCCAAATGGGGACAGTAACATAGGAGCATTATTTTAAGTCAAATAATGTTTGTAAAATGTTTGGTACAGTACTGGACACTTAATAAGAAGTCAATAAATTTTACCAATATTTATTGATAAGTTATATAATAAGATTCAATAGTATCAGGCAAAGACCATTTGTTCATTCCCCAAATAGTTATTGAGATTCTACAACATTTGAGACTCTGAGCTGAATGCTTGGATGAACCAGACAAGTGCTATCTTTCATGAAGTTTATATTCCAGTGAGAGGATATGGATGTAGAACCAAAATTTCTTCTTTTTCTTTTTTTTTGCTGAGGAAGATTAGCCCTGAGCTAACATCTGTGCCAATCTTCCTCCACGTTATATATGGGTTGCCACCACAGCATGGCTGATGAGTGGTCTAGGTCTGTGCCGGGATCTGAACCTGTGAACCCAGGCCACTGAAGTGGAGCATGCCAAACTCAACCACTATGTCATGCGGCCAGCCTCAAGAACCAAAATTTCTTGATCACATATTTCAGTTGTAGTAAGTAACTACAGAGGATGAGCACAAGGCACTTTGAAAGCAAAAATCAAGGAGATGGAGGATTACTCTGTATATCAGGGTCGTAAAGGCCCCACAGAGGAAGGGACATTTGGGTTGACACTTGATGGATGAAATGGAGTTGGCTGCCAAAGGCCTAGGAACTAGGACAGGGCATTTGAGGAAGTGAAATCAGCCCATCAGGAGGGAGTCTGGTGAGTGAAGGCAAGTGTGGGACAAGATGAGGCTGGAGAAGTGGGCAGGGCCTTGATGGTGTTACTCCTGAGAGGCCATGGTTGGGAATTTGGAATTTATCCTGAATGCAATGGCAATCCATGAAGGGCTACTTTTAAGCAAGGGAGTAACAAGACCTGGCTTATCCTTTAGAAGGATTGCTCTGGCTGCTGGGTGGAGGATGGACTACAAAGGGCCAAAAAAGGAGATAAGGAGACCAGCTAGGAAGCTGTGGGAGTAGTCTGAGCAAGAGATGATGCTGGAGTAGTAACAGCACCTTGCTTCACATGGCAAGGTGAGAGGGGACAGACTCAGGATATATTGTGGAGGAGCCCTGACAGTACTTACCAATGGATTAGATGAGACTAGATTTTGGCTTGTGCAAACAGGTACATGAGTGGAGGTTTGGGCTTTGGCAAATTGCTGCTTAAAGGAACCATTTAACTCAACGGGGATGACTTTGGGAAGAATTAATTTGTGTGTGCGTGGGGAGTATTAATGTTAGCCACGTTAGTTTTCTTTTAAGTAATAATTCTTGAATATAATCAAATATCTAGTCAGAGTTCAAATTTCAAATTTTCTCATAAAGTCAAATTTTTTATTGTGGTGGAATATATATAACATTAAATTTACCATTTAACCATTCTTTAGTGTATAGTTCAGTGGCATTAAATACATTCACATTGTTGTGCAGCCATCACAACCATCCTCCACCAGAACTTTTTCATCTTCCCAAAGCCAGGTGAGTTTTGAGATATCTGTCCAGGAGGTAGGTGGATAGATGTACCTGGAGCTCAGGAGAGGTCTGGGCTAGAGATGCCATGAGATCACCTACAGAGAAGGTGCAGAGGGAGAGGAAAAGAGGAAAGAGCAAAGGACGGAGCCCCCAACATTTACAAGTCTGGGTAGGACAGGATGTGAGAAGGTGTTAGTGAGGGGGGAAGAAAACCAGGGAAGGGTGGTGACACAGAAGCTCCATTAGTTTGCTAGGGCTGCCATAACAAAATACCATAGCCTGTGGGACTTCAACAACAGAAATTAATTTTCTCACAGTTCTGGAGGCTGGAAGTCCAAGATCAAGGTGCTGGCAGGTTTGCTTTCTCCTGAGGCCTCTCTCTTTGGGTTGCAGACAGCTGCCTCGCACGGCCTTTCTTCTGTGCTCACAAATCCCTGGTGGCTCTTCCTCTTCTCATAAGGACACTAGTCATATTGGATTAGGGCCCCACCCTTATGAATTCATTTAACCTTATTTACCTCTTTAAATGGCCCTATCTCCAAAAAGAGCCACATTGGGGGTTAAGGCTTCAACTTACAAATTTTGGGGGAACACAGTTCTGTCCATAACAGAAGCTTAAGAAAAAAATTGTTTCCAGGAGGAAGAAGGGGTCTACTGTGTCAAATGCAGCTGAGAAGTTGAGTAAGATAACAGTGGTCCTTTGACCTTGGTCAGAGTCCTTTTTTTTTTTTTAGGAAGATTAGCTCTGAGCTAACATCTGCCACCAATCCTCCTCTTTTTGCTGAGGAAGACTGGTCTGAGCTAACATCCGTGCCCATCTTCCTCTACTTTAAATGTGGGACACTTACCATAGCATGGCTTGCCAAGTGGTGCCATGTCCGCCCAGGATCCAAACTGGCGAAGCCTGGGTTGCCAAAGCGGAACGTGTGAACTTAACCACTGCACCACCAGGACGGCCCCATCAGAGTCTTTAAGAAAAGATTAATTAGAGTAAATTGAGGAGAGATAGAAGGTGAGGAAGTGGAGAAACAAGCATAGCAATCTTTTCAAACTTTGTTGAGAATGAGAACTGAAAACTGGGATGGTAGGAGGAGCAAGTAGGGGCACAAAATAGTAAAAAAAAAAAAAAAAAAAAAAAAAAAGTGACATTAAAGCTTGTTTGTAAATTGAAGAGAATGATCCAGGAGAAATCTGTGATGCAGGAGATTAAAAAAAGAAAATCACAAGAGTAGAATCCCTGAAAAGACAAAGATGATGGAATTCACTACAAAAGGGGAGGGCTTGGCTTTAGATAGCTGGGACCTGTCCCCCACATTACCAGGAGTCCAATACAGTACTCATCACATAATTAGCGGGGCCCAGTGCAAAATGAAAATGTGGGTCTCTTGTTCAAAAATTATTAAGAATTTCAGGACTGCAGCAGAAGAGCATTGAACCAAGCACAGAGCCCTTCTAAGCACGGGGCCCGGGCCACAGTACAGTTTGTATGCTCAACAAGCCGGCCTCGGTCCAGTCTGTGATGCTGACATTGCTAGGCTGTCCTTTGGGGCAAGTGTCTTCTCTCGGGCCTCTACTGCCTCATGAACGGATTGGAAGAGATGACTAAGGACACTTTCAGCTTCACCGTTCTACAAACTGAGAGCTCACTCTTAGGGAGCAGGAACAAAGTTTATACCTTTGTAACTTCCAATCCCGCCAGATTTGAGCCCACGGCTTTCTGGAAGGCTCTAAAGCATCCGGTGACCATAGCAACTCACGCCAAACTCCGGATCCCTCGGCTCCTCCCACAGCTCCACGGATACGCTCGTTGATTGGCTCAGCACATCGACCAATGGCCGGTGAAGCGGGCTGTTTGCCGCGCGGTCAATGGCCGCTGGCCGGGAGGGAGGCGGGAAGAGAGGGCGAAAGGCGGAGCTGGGCGGCGGCGCGCGTGCGTGTTTCCGGCTCCGCTGCGGAAGGCGGAGGACCGGAGCCGTTGGGCCGGACGCGACCCGAAGGAGCAGGGAGAACGCGGGACGCGAGTGCAGAGCTCAGATCTCGGAGCGTGCCTAGTGGCCGGCGCGATGGGCGGAGAGCAGGAGGAGGAGCGGTTCGATGGCATGTTGCTGGCCATGGCGCAGCAGCACGAGGGCGGCGTACAGGAGGTAACGGCCCGCGCGGCGTCGGCCCGGCCTCGTCCGGCGGCGCCCGCCCACTCGGGCGGCCCTAGCCACGCTCCCTTCGCCCTAATCTGCCTTCGAGGGCCGAGATCCATTCCTGGGCCTCGCAGGCTTCTGGGATCCTGCCACGTTCTCACCGCACTCCAGCTTCCGGTCTGGGTTCCGCGCTGCACGTTTTGCATCCTTCGTATCAGTCTTGGGCCCCCGGCGCCCCTCAGTAGTAGTTCCTGTCTTAGCAACTCTGGCGTCCCTGAACCCGCCCCTGAAAAAACCTCAGAGCCTTAGGACACACACCCGGCCCCCTGTCCTTCCGGCTGTTTCCCCTCTCATGGCCGCCCCCGAAGAGCGTCCCTTACGACGAACCATCCCAGACATTGGGATTTGCATCTACCAAGACTTGGAGCGAGCCGAAGAATGTGTGCAGTGTCTGGGGGGGGGGGGGGGGGGCATGATGTTAGCACGTGGTCTTTTTAGGCCTTGAATGGGGCAATGGGAGCCTCAGTTCACACTTAGTTTCTACTACCTACCAGCTTGGGACCTCTCCACATCTCCAAGCTCTAGTTTCTTTGTCTTTGAGACAGAGCTAGAGATCCGTATTTCTTGAGTCTTTTTAGGACAGTAGTCTCTTGAAAAACTGAGGAATTCTCGGTAATCAGGTGTGTTCGTTCAACAAGTGTTTGTTGAGTGATTGATGTGTACCAGACACTGGACCCGGTGTCTGGGGAGACAGACATGAGCAGAAACGTGTCCTTGCCCTCATGGAGCTTACGAAGGGCTTTTCAAAAGCATAATTCATGCATAGTGACCAGACACTATAATATACATAGTGTGTGAATGGTAATGACCAACCGGTATAGATTCTGGAGTTGGTTTTTTGGATCAGAAACATAGAGGGTTATAGATAGAAAAGCCTATCAAGATAAGTCTAGAACTGTCATTCTATAAAGAATTGAAGGAATTTTCCCAAGATCATCCAATAGGCTCCTGACGTAGAGGGGACCGGACTCCTTAGGCCAGCATGCTTTCTACAGTCAATTGCTGATTCTGTGTCTTGCTGGGGACAAGTTTTTTTTTTTGTTTTTTAAAAAAATTATTTTATTGAGGTCATAATGGTTTATAACATTGTGAAATTTCAGGTGTACATTATTATTTGTGAGTTTCTGTATAGACTGCATCGTGCTCATCACCAATAGTCTAATTTTTATTGGGGACAAGTTTTTATTGAGCTTTTTATTCCCATGCTCTCACTCAGGTATCTGTGGTGAACGAGGACTCCTAAGCCCTTTAGGGTGGGAAGAGTGTTATTAATTTGCAAGTGTGAAAGGCTCCCTCTTCTATCCCCCTAAATTGTTGACACAAAACTGGGTTTGCGAGTGAGTTCATTTTTGAGTCAATTGAAAAAGTGTCTAGAAGCAGGAATTCAAACCATTGAGAGAGAAGTTCTAGCATCAGATTTAGAACCACTCACTTGGGCAAAGAAAAAGGTTTATATATGCTAACCCTAGGTCACCACTACATCTTTTCATTCAGCACAGATTCTACTGAGCACGTACTCTGAGCCAGATCAGGTGCCAGGCAGTGGGGGAGTAGACAGAATAAGCCTACATGTGAGGAGTTCCCTCTCTGGCAGGGGGTCTCTTGCTTTGGGCCAGATACTGCTAAGGGCATCACCTCCATTACCTTGTCAGATCCGCACAAGATCCCTAGAAATAGGTCCTGCTGCTATTCTTGTTTTACAGAGTTAAGAAACTTCCCCAAGGTCGCAGGGCTGATGTTCATCAGTCTGGTACTCAAACTCATGCTCTCCACCGCTTGGCTACACTGGTACCCAGCCAGAGTTAGTTGGTCTTAACCTTTGAAGTGGCTTCATTTGCCCCCCTCCTCCCAGCTCTGCCCTAGTAATTCAGCCAGTGCCCCTCTCAATGGGCTTTTTACTATCTGGAGAGGAAAGCTGGACCCAGGTGTTTCAAGCCCTGGATGCAGAGGAGTGGTCCACATCCTCAGGCTGCTTCTAGTGAAACACACACATACAAACAAGAAGTGAGAAATCTGCCTTTCAGGCGATGTAGATAAAGTTAGGTTAGGCTTTCTGGCCGAAGTGACTAAAGTAGGGGCTGTTGGGGAGGATGTTTCTTCACTTGGGAGTTGGGAGGCTCAGGGGTGAAACAGTCACGTCCCAAGTTTCTCCCTAGGCTTCTGTGCAGTTGAGGGGCTCCGAATATGACATCTCTACAGCATCGTTCTTTGTCTTCTGTCTTTTAGCTTGTGAACACTTTCTTCAGCTTCCTTAGACGCAAAACGGACTTTTTCGTTGGAGGAGAAGAGGGAATGGCAGAGAAGGTGAGTTTTGGGAGCCACTGTCCCTTGGGCAGCTCTGTTTTTTCAGAAGAAAAGCTCACCTGGCCTTTCTTTGGCATAATGGTAACCTTCGGCAGAAGTAGAATGCTGGGGGTGAGGAGTGGGGAAGGGAAGCAAGCTGCATTTATTGAAGCCCCTCCTCCTGCTATGTCTTTATCTACTGTGTTTTCCATGACCCTTTAGAAGTTTGAGAGGGGCAGGTGTTACTATCCCCATTTTACAAACGAGTAACTGGCTCAGGGGTGTTTGGCACTTTGTCCCAAGTCTTGAGCTGAGTTGTGGGAGAGCCAGGGTTGGAAGAGCCTATTGTAAAACTGCCTTTTGGCCCTGAAACCAGGATTCTTGGTTCCTTTTCCATTGAGGTGGTTTTATCTGATTACCTAGCTGGGAGATGAGAGTGGGAAAATGTTAGAAATTAAGCTTAGATGACAGAAATACAGGAAAGCTCAAAGCCAGCCAATCCCAGTCTTGCCAGATGCTGTGATCCAATGTTCAAGGATTTGGGAATGGTGTTTTGTGGTACAGGTTCTGAGACCTTGAACTTCCTTCTGTGTACATAGGTTGTAATTACATTTTGTCTGTGTGTGTGAGAGGAATATTCACCCTGAGCTAACATCTGTTGCCAATCCTCCTCTTCTTTCTTTTTTTTTTTTTGGCTTGAGGAAGATTAGCCCTGAGCTAATATCTGCCACTCTTCCTCCACTTTGTACGTGGGATGCCTCTACAGCATGGCTGACGGGTAGAGTAGGTCTGTACCTGGGATCCGAACCTGTGAACCCAGGTCGCTGAAGCGGAGTACACAGAACTTTAATCACTTGGCCGTGGGACCAGCCCTATAATTACATTTTTGAAGATTGGTAAATCATGAAGGTGTTACTTCATTGAACTATGATTTTATTTTATTTATTTTTTTTTTGGTGAGGAAGATTGGCCCTGAGCGAACATCTATTGCCAATCCTCCTCTTTTTGCATGAGGGAGATTGTCTCTGAGCTAACATCTGTACCAATCTTCCTCCATTTTATATGTGGGATGCCACCACAGCATGGCTTGTTGAGCAGTGTGCAGGTCCGTGCCCAGGATCCAAACCTGGGAATCCCGGGCCACTGAAGTGGAGCACACAAACTCAACCACTATGCCACTAGGCTGGCCCCTAAACTATGATTTTTATAACTTGAGATTTGTTTTCACTTAAACATAGTAAACATAGAGAAACAGTCACAAAAAGGAGACATTTTGCAAACCTGCTTTCTGTGGCTTTGGGGTCCAAGAAGTTGGTATGCTGTATGGTATGGTTGGTATGCTGTATGGTATGGTT